AGACAAAAGTCCAAGGTAACCCTTCTGCAAGATCCGATGAGGCCAAACAATAAATCCCTTCAACCCGCATTCGCAAACAAAATGAAAGGTACTCAAGTTTCATATAAACATTTTCTAATATGTTGTGTCAATCTCATTGGGCTTAAACTCAAATTCCCCATACTTCGATCACGGATTAAACAGAAATAACAGACAACCAACAGAAGTTAGATGATTTAGCGAATTAAATAACTACTTGGATCAAGGGCCTGCAAACTTCTAAAACAGCCTCGGGCAGAAATACAGCCAACTGGATGATTATTGTCTCCACCACCTGTCGACAAGAGAACCCCTCGGCATTCCAACCACCAACATCTAGGTCATAGCCAGCTAGTCCTGCTTTTGAGAGCCCGGAACCGATCGGACAATCCCAGAGTCCACTAACAGGAGGATGCGTAAAAGCGCAGCCTCCTGCCGCCATTTCGCGCAGAGAGACATCGACATCCCAGATCGTAGAAAAAGTGAATTGTCGCCGAAAAGACTTTGACTCATCTGAGGCCGCAGCGGACATAGAAGGAAGCGAGTCTATTGAGGCACCACCCAGAGAAAGGCAAGCCTCGGGTTCGCGGGCCAGGGCTGCAGCTTCTGGTCTACTAAGTGGCAGCCAAAGGTCAATGAGTCCAACTAGACAGTGATGTAGGCCAGATTCATGGGATGCGCCATCGATATTTTGGTCTGTGGGATTCATCAACCAGTTCTGAATCTGAAACAGATTTAAATTAATTGAGATAATGCATAACAAATAATGTAAGATAGGCAAACTTTTATGAATATTCATAGGTGAGGACGAAGGATGATGTATGACTGTTTTCATTGAAATAGCGATCTATTATTTATAATTACTGTAGTGTATTGATGAATATTTAACACAAATTCTTTATTTCAAATATATTCTTTTTTTATATTAGTTCGCACACACACACATATATATATATGGATCATTTGAAAAATGTCTAAGGTCTCTAAAGGAATTGAACGGAAGTGAAATTTTTTTCTTAATGCTTCTCATGGATAGAAATGTAAACATATAAAAATTACAAAAATGAATAGACTCCGTCCAACTACAGCTCCTTGAAGATGATGGTGATCAGGCCAGCTCGGGTGTATACCCTAAGTTGTCGATATATTCCGCAATTGGAATTGAATCTATAGGAGGAAATTTCGTTCGTAATGATTAGTTGCTCGAGACTATAAGTAGGTAATGAATAAGAACTTTAGTCACCCTAGGTCGATTAAGATTATGATAGAATGGTGATCAATTTTTCCACGATATGGAAAGGCCCCGCAATACTACTGAATTTTGTTTCGCCTTGTTTTCCCAAATATATTCTCACCCAAAGAGGAGTACAGTTAATACATCTAATCAGTAAACCCAATGATAATCGAACACAAAAATGAAATGGTTATTTGCGATATTTTATGGCTAAACCATACTGTCAAGGATGCCAGTTAGTCACAATACAAACGTGATTTTGAGGGAAAACAAAGCATTTTCTACAACTTATTTTTCTTAATAAAAAAAATTGCTGAGGCCTGGTTTGACTTTATTTATATCTGTGCTGTGACCAAATGGCATCCGCGGCAATATTACAGAATAACAAGTGGAAAATAAACGCTGTTGACGAGCTAAGATGTATACGATTTACATATTTCCAACAAGCCTCAAACTTCAAGCAGATTCAAGATAATTGATATACAGCAGGTATAGCTAAAACTCAGTAGCTTAATAAGAACCCACTTAACTTATTTACTAAAATTTTAGTCCAGAAAGTATTCCAAGGTTTATATTAACCTAAATGAACGAAAAATACCAGACTTATAAGAGCTTAATGGCGGAACGAAAAGAGGTCAATGTAGTATAATATAATAGTTACAATAACCAGCTTTGCTTAAAAAGCCTCTAATGAGACCAAAATAAAATTATTCGGCAATAATTAAATAAATCTTTAAAAGCATCAAACTTACCAAATTTACTCCCTCATCAGACAAAGCAGGATGAGTGCAATCAGAACTGCTATGTACACGAGTATGTGAATGCAATGGCTGGTGGGCCTGAAGAGTATCTGAAGCAAGTAGCTTAAAAATAATAGTCATAAGATGAATGGAAGCCCTTGGATGAAGACAGGGGCTACGTTTGATCGGAAGGAAAGATTCTGAAGAAGAGATATGATCAACTTTGAATTGAACGACCAATTTAGTAGAAAGGCGAAGAACCGTCATAAGAAGGATATCCATCTCCGTAGGCCCATTTGTATCCTAAAAATGATGGAAAGATTATGATCCAAATATTATATCAAATAAATAAGTAACGAAAACAAAGCCAACATAGGTAAACTTAGTTAAAAAGGAGATAACAGTTTTGCACTAAAAATGCTATCGACCCGCGCTTTCCTAAGGAACAGGAAGAAGATATTAATAAATATTGGCGAAGAT